GGAGGAGGGCCCACAGCCCGCGCCCTCCGCGAGGAGTGGCAGCGCGCGGCCGGGGCGCCCGGGCTGGCCGCCGCAACGCGGGGCGGCCGCGGCGGCTACCCCGGGGGCGGCCAGCAGCAGCCCACGCAGGAGGCGCCCGCCCCTGGGCAGGAGGTTTCCCTGACGGCACGAGCGAAATGCCCCTGGCATTGGGCGTCTCGCAAAAAACGAGGCGGAGGTGTTTCGTGGTTTTGGACCTCTCGGGGCCCTCACCGGGCCTCGCGGTCGGGAGGTCGGAGGCCCATGTCTTGAAAGAATCGAGACGTCGGATGTCTGATGCCCTGAGACCCCGGCGGCGCCATTCTTTCACGGCGGGCGTTGTCGCTAGGCGTCGGGCCCCTGGGACCATCACAGATCGATCCGGTTCGGAAAGTGCAGCAGAGAGACGGGGTCTAGGGTTAAGTCGGCCATGCCCCTTAACAGGAGGAGCATTCAAAAAATAGAAAAGCAATCGTATGGGGACGAGTTGTCTGGTATGTTTGACTATTTGGGTGCATGTCTTGATTATTTGAAGTTTTGTTTTCCAGAATCGTCTTGTAGGAGGACACGGAAATGCCCGACCTAAGTCTAGGGTTCCTTCCATGTTTGTTCGAGGCGTCGGATCTCAGGGTGGATATGCGGAAAGATCGGGGGCGAAGGTCGACAGCAATTAACTTGCCGGCATACCGAGCAGGAGTCGCTGCCGGTGGCGCCGCAACTGGTGTCCGCTTGTCGGCGGCGAGCGAGGGTGGGAATTTCGAGGTTCGAACTTCGATGTTCGAGGTTTTCGGGCGTTTTCGTAGCTTCTTGGCGGTCTTCCACCCTTGGGGTGCGTTCCAGCGGCTGCGCCTCGCTGAGAGCGTTCCAGGGGTGCTCGGATCGTCCCGAACGGCCGCCGGAGGCCCGAGTTATGGCCCGAGAACTGATCTCGGCTGCGCGCCCAGGGGGAGGCGAGAAGCAGAAGGCCTTCTCAGAAGGCGGCGAGGCTTCTCAGAAGCCCCCGCGCCTTCTGAGAGGATTTTCCTGTTCTCAGGAGCGAAAGATAAGGATGTACATGTACATGAATCCGCGCTGGTTTCGACGGTGCGAATTGCGCGAATGTTCACATCACGCGGCCCGTCTCGCGGATCGAAGGGCCGTGTTCATGTACATAGTTGGGCGCGCACGTCCTTCGTGGGCGCCCATGTGTTTCCGGGACGGTTCAACGCCAAACCCGGCCAACTCAGAAACGAGAATTGTGAGGATGTCTCAAGCGAAACGGCCCGGACCATCAAATTGTTGTGAGGATGTCTCTACTTCGGCTTCCCTCGGCCGGAGTTCGCTTCTATCACAACAGCGCCCCGTTCAGCAAGCTGTTTGGGGGAAAAAGATGCTCCGAAGACCGGGGGCCTTCCGAGCCTTCTGGGAGGGCTTTCTCCTCCTCATTTCCCCCCCTGGCGCTCCGCCGAGTCTTCGTGGGCGCCCATGTTTTCCGGGAGGGTTCAAAGAAAAGATGCTCCGAAGACCCGGGGGACTTCCGAGCCTTCTGAGAGGGATTCCTCCTCCTCGCTTCCCCCCCCCTGGCGCGCCGCCGAGTGTCGAGCCGCGAGGTCGCCCCTGCCCAGCGGCGGCCGCTGTCGGATCTGGGCCACATCTGCCGCTGGGCCCTGGGCGAATTTGCTTCCCCTACCTTCAAGTCGGGCCTGTCCCCATACAGGGAGATTTTCAATTTAAAATACCCAAATACTACATCAAAAATAATCCAAGAATAGTCTGGGGAGTTTATTTTAAGTATTTGTTACCCTGTTGGGGTATTTTGGGGGTATGTATTATTTTTCGTCGAAACTCCCCCTGCAGGGGGACAGGCCCGACTTAACCGTACCTCCTTTCGGGCGTGCCCTCTCCCGGGTCGCCCGCGGGCGGGCGCCAAGGCAGGAGCGCGGCTCGCGCGCCGCGGTCCGGGCCAGAGCGCGAGGCGTGGCCGCGCACCGCCTTGGCGCGGTGCGCGGAGGCGGACGGCCCGGGCTGCCGTGCTCGACCGCACCGTGCCTGGCCAGGGCCAGCCCGCAGCCTGGCCGAGGCCGGGCGGGCCCACGCCCGAGGAACAGGGACGGGCTCCGCGCGGGTGTCTTGGATCTGCGCGGCCCGTCAAGAGTTTGTGCGCACGCCGCTGTTTGTTCCTCTGTGCACGCCATCCTGGGGCCCAGGACGGCCAAGGCCAGGCACGGTGGTGGCGTCGGGAAACCTTTTTGCGGATGCGCCACCACCGTGCCTGGCGCTGCTGGCGCCCCCAGGAGAACAAGTCAGGGGCCGCCGGGGTTTGTGGCCACTCGGGCCACGTACAGAAACGGGGTCGTCTTCGCCGACACTGGCGCTCAAGCTCCCCGCGTAAGGTCGCGCGTAAGCCCCCTCGTTTCCAAAGTAGCGTGCCGCGCTGGCGGCCCGCGTAGGCCGCCGCGTAGGGTCGCTGCGTCATCTCGCGTAAGATTCGATGTTGATCGACGCTCCCTTTGGGGGGGGGGCTCTCCAGAGGCCAGGCCTCTCGGGCCTCGGAAGCGTCAAAACGCGGCCATCGAGGTGCAAAAACGGCCCCGGCGAAAGGGGTCGAGAGGTCTGTCGGGAGCCTTGGGACGGGGGTCAACGCAAACGGGGGTCAGCCAGCGCGCCGGATCTTGCGGGATCCTGCAGGACCAGGGTCGCATCGACCCGGGCTTGGGTGCAGAATCTTGCAGGACCTTGCAGGATTCTGCATGGCCTGACTGACCCGGGTGTGGATTGACCCGGGGCAGAAGATCACCGAGTCTGGAGTGGAGGCCCACGCATCGACGCAGTCGAAGTTCCGGACTGGCGTTTGTTTGATGCGGGCGGTGTTTCCTCAATTTCGGCCTCCAGAAGCCAGTTTCGGGACTAGGAATAAAGTCGGGCCTGTCCCTCCACAGGAGGAATATTCAAAAGTCATCAAAAAAAGAATGGAGACGATTGTTTTTTTGCGTTTTTGACCATCTCTGAATATTTTTGACTATTTTTCATTTCTCGTCCAAAATCCGCCTCTCGGGGGACACGCCGGACCGAAGACCAGGACCTCGGGGGCCACGCCTTGAAAAGCTTGTGGCGTGAGCGGCCCGGGCACGCCCGCATGGCCAAGGCCAAGAGGGCCTGCGCACCGCCAAAGAGGCCAGGACGGCCCTAGCCAGGCACGGTGGTAGCGCACCTCGGGCGTGGGGCACCGGGCCCTCAGAGGTCAGGAGGGAGAAAAAAAAACACAGACACAATGAATCGTCGGTTCCCAGGAAAATGCGGAAAAATATGGGCAGTGGGGGGGGGGAGGACGAAAACCCAGAAAATATAGGAAAATACGGGGAATCCTTTTATTTGTGTGTATGAATTTGTGTGTCCCAGGGCCCCTTCAAGAGGCCCCCCCTGGGCCCCGCAGTGTGCACGAAAGGGGCACCTTTCTCCACCTCTCCGCCGATGGCCCCCGTGACGCAGCTCCCGAGCACCGGGTGAGCGACGCAGAAACGCGGAGTCGCCTGCGCCGACATCGGCGCGTGCACCCTGCTCGTTCAGTCCGGGGTCAGTCCGGGGTCAGTCCGGGGTCAGTCCGGGGCCAGTCCGGGCTCGAGTCCGGGCTCGAGTCCGGGGTCAGTCCGGGGTCAGTCCGGGGTAGAGTCCGAGGCCAGTCCGGGGTCAGTCCGGGGTCGAGTCCGGGGTCGAGTCCGAGGTCAGTCCGGGGTCAGTCAGGGGTCAGTCGGATGATCCCAGACTGACCTTGGATAGATCTGGAGCCCGGAGTGATTTGGGCTGACCGTGCAGACTCGCGCCAGAGTGATCCCGTATGTATGGACTCCAATCGGAGCAAAGTCAGCGCAGCCGAGCCGACCGCCACACTACCAGATGCAGGCGTATGTTGGGGTGGGAAGAAACCGGTCTCATATTGAAGTATGCTTTAGGAAATGAGAGTGTAAGCGGGCCGATCTAGTTTTCGGAATTGCGGAAGTCGGGCACCTAAATTCCCGATCTAGTTTAGCCGAGACTTAGTTTCACCGATCCTAATTTTTAACGAGCGGAGAGTAAGCTGCCCGCGCAAGATCGCGCGAGAGCGCCCTCGCTCCAAATGTGGCCTGCCGCGCGGGCGGCCCGCGTAGGCCGCGGCGTAATGTCGCTGCGTCGCCTTGCGCAAGATCCGTTTTTGATCGTCGCCCAGGTGCCTTCTGCGCAGCAGCACGCCGTGGACACCAACGACCGCGGTGCGCCCGTGGCCGTCGGCGCAGACGGCTCTCGGAGGAGAAAAGTACAGGGCATGCGTGTCGTGTCGGCGCGGCAGCGACCCCGCCGCGGGCGCTCGAGGTGGAACGGCGCCCGCCGCTCAGAATCGGCCAGGGCAGAACGATTTGGCGACCGACAGCCCCCGATCCACGCGGTGTCAGAGGCCATCGCCGCAGTCGTCACGACGCGAACCCACCGCAGCGACGCTGCCGATCCCCCTCCTCGTTTTCGCCTTCCTGGGCCTCCTGGGGGGGGGGGGGGGGGAAAAGCCCTCGTCGCCACGGCTGCCTCCGCATCGGAAGCCCGGTCAGGGCGCGCCCCCAGAGCGGCCTTGGAGAGCAGCGGCCTCGGCATCGAGCTCGAGAACTTATGGCCGGCGCGGGGAAGAGTTGTCGGAGGCCCGTGCGGAGTTGTTGGGCCGGCGTCTGGACCTCCACCATACCCAGTATAGTTTGTCATTATGCCCCCCCCCCCCCACACCCCCAAAGTTCTCGGTTGGTAACTCAACTCGTCCTGCCCCTCCTCGTCCTTCCCCTCATTATTACCATCATCAACGTCATCAGCATCATCATCAGCATCATCAGCATCACCATTACCATCATCAACATCATCAGCATCATCATCTGCATCATCATCTGCATCATCATCATTATCATCATCATCATCATCATCATCATCATCATCATCATCATCATCATCATCATCATCATCATCTCCATCACCATCAGCATCATCATCAGCAGCAGCATCATCGCCATTATCAGCGCCATCATCATCATCATCATCATCAGCAGCAGCAGCAGTAGCAGCAGCAGCATCGTCATCATCATCATCGTCATCATCATCATCATCATCATCATCATCATCATCATCATCATCATCATCATCATCATCATCATCATCATCATCAGCACCAGCACCAGCACCAGCACCAGCACCAGCACCAGCACCAGCACCAGCACCAGCAGGAGCAGCATTATCATCAGCATCACCATCACCACTACCATCAGGGATCCTCGTCCCCCGTCAGATCATCAGCGGTGGCCGCCGCGGTGGAATATTTATCTTCAAGTAATGTTGGGGTCCCAATCCGTCAATAAGCCCGCGGAAACTATTTGATGCCCCATGATAAGGGGGGGTCTGAAACACCCTTTGGTGTTACCCGCACCCCTGGCAGCGCCGCCCCTGGCCAGCTCTGTCGGACTTCCGAAAGCTTGCCTCTATGACATTTCGGGGGATCCTGCAGGCTCGGGCCGCTTCTACTGCGGCAGGGTGCTGGGGAAGGAGGCCGCGGAGGTCCCAAAGCGGTCTGGCGAGCCCGCTGGTCCGGCGAGCGGAGACCCATTCTGGGAGAGGAGCCGGTTTGCGGAGCCGGGACCTTGGGCCTCGTTCCACGAATGACCCGAGCGCCAGGGGGGGAGGGGGCCACCCAACGCACACGGAAGTCCGAATTGCCCATGCGCACGTGATGCAGCAGCTGCCGCCAAGGGGGGGAGTTGCGAGATGGCTCACACGGCGCTCTCGGGCGATCGCAGACATGGATTAGGGGGGCGCGGATCAGCGACGGGTCCTGTTTCCATAGGAAATCGCCGACTTCCGCCGCCGAACGAGGCGGCACCGGCCGCATTTTGGAGAGGGCACCTCCCCCGATCCATGGATTTGGCGACCGCGCGCCAAATCCATGGATCGCTAATCCATGTTTGCGCGTCCCCGGAAAACGGCCCTGTGGCGGACGGTGCGGTCGAGTCGGTCGGTGCCCCCTAAGCTCGTTCTCCAGCAGGCGGCGAGCGATGGGGGGGAAAGCGAGAAGGAGAAGGCCTTCTCGGAAGGTTCGGAAGTCCCCTGGCCTTCTGAGAAGCTTTCTGAGCCTTTCCGGAAGACAGACAAAAACTTCTCAGAAGGCGCGGGCGGCTTCTGAATAGCCCCGCCGCCTTCTGAGGAGGCCTTCTCCTTCTCATTTCCCCCCCTCGCTCGCCGCGGATCCAGGGTGGGGGATCTTCTGGCTGGGGCGCCCTGGGCTGGGATGCTGCTTGGTACAGCGGCCCTCTGCAGCGGCCCGCGAGCTCCAGCGCCAAAGGACCGGGAGTCCTGCGGCAAGGCCGAGGCACGTCTTCCGCAGTGCCGCCCAAACTACGGACCGTCTGGTGAGGTCCTCAAGCTTTGCAAGGTCATTGGGCCGTTTTGTCATCAAGGGTTCTAAGACCCCCGACGTCGTGGTTTCGAAATAGCACGACCTCCCCAGAGCCCCCGACCTCTTCCCCAGGGCCGGTTGTCCCCCTGGAGTGTTCACAACCCATCTGTGTTGCGTTGCGTCTTCGTTTGAATCCGCACCGCGCGTCTCTTTCTCCTTCTCATCCTTACGTATCTGCCCTCCGCACACCACACCAATTGCGGTACCATAGAAAGCTCAACCGAAGGCCCCAGTGGAGATGTCTGCATTGCGTCGCCCCGCCCATCTCGGCGCACTCGCCTCGTGGCCCGCAACGAGCTCCACCGAAGATGTCCGCACGGCGTCGCCCCGCCCAGTTCGCCGCACCCCCCGCGCGGTCCTCGGCCCCACAGGGAGCTCCGCCGAAGGCCCCAGTGGGCATAGGGAGCTTCACAAGCCCAAGCCGCTGCGTGCGCATGGCGTCACCTCGCCCATTTCGGCATACCTCTTACATGCCTCGCAGCCATACAGGGAACTCCACCGAAGGCCCCAGTGGCAGGGTCCACACGGCGTCGCCCCGCCCTTTGTCGGTGCACCCCTCGCGCGTCTCGTGACCACTCCAGGAGCTCCGCCGACGGCCTCAGTGGGCATGCTCCATGGTGTCTCCGCGCCCACTTCGGCATACACCTCGCGCGCTTCGTGGCCCCGAAGGAGCTCCACCCACGTTCTCAGTGGAAGCGATAGCATGGCGCCTGCGCTTCGTTTCGGCGCACCCCTCACACCCTTCGTGGCCCCCATCCGCACTGCTCACGGCTCCACCCCTCTCGCGGCGCACCTGCCTATGAGGAGGGCCATACACTCCGTCGTTCGCAGCTGAGTTGGGGGCGGGCATTTCGCCAGGGCCAGGAGAGCAGCCCCCAGAGGCTGGAAGCTCAGCACAGACCGCCTGGACTGAAAACGCATCACGACGTCTGGGGCACGGGAGCGGCTGGGGCAGATCCGAAGAGGCCCGTCCCGGGCCGCCTCCCACCCCACCCCAGGCACTGGTGGTTCAGCCTGGCCCTCCTTTGACAGACCCGAAGGATTGCAAAAAAACGAAGGATTGCAAAAAAAACCTTCGGTTTTTTTGCAATCCTTCGCTCCGATGCGGGAGCCCGATGCTTTCGAAGAGGCAGTTGCCGCGGGTCGTTCGTCGCGCAGCGACTGGGGACACGAAGGCACGCCCTCGCTGCTCGCACGAGGGGAGGGCGCGAGTGGGAAGGGCGCTCCCGGAAGTCAGGGGCACACTGGAGTGGCAGGAGCCTGCCTACGGTAGGTTCGCGTCGTGTCGACCGGCGGCGACCCCGCCGCCGACGTTCAACGTTGAACGCCGACGGCGGCCCAGAATCGGTCGATGTTGAACGATCGGACGTTGCGGAGACGGCCGATCGTTCAAGGTTGAACGATCCAGCGCGGTGTCAGGAACCAACGCCAGGGTCGACACGGCACGAACCTGCAGTAGAAGGGCCCGGAGTCTTTTGACAAAGTGTCCCAGATCGGCGGCGAGCGATGGGGGGGGAAGCGAGAAGGAGAAGGCCTTCTCGGCAGGTTCGGAATTCCCCCGGCCTTCTGAGACGTTGTCGGAGCCTTCTTCGAACACACGAGAACGTCTCAGAGGGCGCGGGGGGCTTCTGAGACGTCCCACAGCCTTCTGGGAAGGCCTTCCCCTTCTCGTTTCCCCCCCTCGCTCGCCGCCGACCAGACTCTGGGAGGATTTTGAGAAGGCCCACCACCTTCTTGGAAGGCTGCCCCCCCCCCCGCGCGCCCCTCTGCGCGCGCCGCCAAGCATCGCGGGCGGAAGACACGTGTCCACGGCCTCACGGTCTGGACTCCGCGCGCGGGTGCCCCGGGCGAAACGTACCCATCGGATGGCGTATCCATGGACTCCGCTCAACCTCACTCTCTCCGCCTCATTTTTCCGCTTTCTTCCGCGCTCGCTCTACCACCCCATGGTTCATCAACAACCCAGTGCACGCCGCGCGCCCCCTCCCATTCCTGTTCACGGCTCCTGTCCCTGGACACCTCTTCGCAGTGTCCCCCCCAGGCTGGCTTTTCATTCCGGTCCTATGCTGGGCGGTCCTGGCGCACGAACAAAGGATTCCAGACACCGAAGAGAGCCTCGATCGTCGATGTGGTGTCCTCGGTACGGCAGGTTCGTGTCGTGTCGACGCGGCGGCGACCCCGCCGCGGGTGTTCAAGATTGAACGCCGGTGGTGGTACAGAATCGTCCAACACAGTCGGGGCGCTGGAGGAGGAATCCTTTTTAGTTGGGGAGGGGCCCAGTGTTCCTTGGTTGTTTTTGCAGTCTGCTTGGGGTTGTCCTTCGGTTTTCGATCGGAAATCAAGGGGTAACTTATGGAAAAAGAGGCCTCGGTCCTTCTTGCGAAGGCCTTACGGCTGGTGCCGCCGACCCTGAGACGATGACGACGAAGACAAGGAAGACGACGTGGAGGGACAGGGAGAAGGACGTGGAGGAAGCGGTTGAGCAGCAAGAGGAGGAACAAGATGCGAAGGAGGATAAGGAGGGCGAGAAAGAGCAGGGAGAAGCTTGGGTGGGGGGATTCAGCAGCAGGATGAAGAGGTCGAGCAATTGGAGGAGAAGGACGAGTACTTGGAGGAGGGAGGAGGAGTGGCTGAAGGAGGAGGATGGGTATGGGGAGGTTGAGGTGAAGGTGATTTTGCGGCGCTCGGGTGTAAGATCACGCGGCAGAAGGGGGTGAGCAGGAAGAGGATAATGATGAGGAGGATGAGGATGTTGAGCACTGGCATACGAAAAAGCAGGATGCGGAAGAGGACAAGTGGTTGGAGGGGGAGGAGCAGGAGGGTCAGGAGGAGGATGGCGTGAGTGCTTTGCAACATGAGAGGTGGGGAGCAGGAGGGCGCGGAGGAGGATGGGCGGGAGGCGGGAAACGAGGGAGTCGGGGCAGGACAATGGTCAGTGGAAGGACGGTGAAGACGGGGCGGAGACATAGGAGGACGGTGACAGGGTATTTGTAGCATTAGTTGACGCATTCCTGTAGAGGAATCGATTGGCTGTCGGATTCGGGGTGGGGTTCGGGACTGGGTAGCAGAGGGTAGTTGATTCGCCGACGGCGCTTTGCGTCCCCGCAGAGGGTCTGGCGGACTCCTCTCTCCTCCTCCCCCGCCTTTCCTCCTCCTCTTCCTTCTCCTCCTCCTCTTCCATCCTCCCTCCTCACCCTCCTCCGTCCTCACCTCTCCCTCCTTCTCCCTCCCCCCTCCTCCCTCCTCCATCCCCCCTCCCTCCTCCATCCTCCATCCTCCACCTCCAAGGCGTTGGCGGCAGGGTCGTGCCCAAGGGCCCATAGGGTGGGAGCCCATGCCAAGACATGCCACGTTTCCCTCCAGGGCGCCGTGGTTTTTGGGTTTCGATCGTCCCAGAATGTAAAGCGCGACGCTGTTATGCCAGAAATCAGTGGACATCCTGCGGATTCGGGCTTGAATTTCTCGTGGGAAGCTCCCCGTGACCGAGCTCGTCGGGGGCGGGGCTGGAAAGGGGGGGGGGGAGAATTCTCCGGGGTTCGTTTTGCAGTCCGGGTTCGTTGCCGCGGGCCCTGGTGCCCGAAAACAGCCACCGGAGGCCGAAATCGAGAAATAAGTGCTGCAGATCGAAGGTCCATCAAGAATTCGACGAATAATCATCGAAAATTGAGGAGGACCACGGGGCCGCGGCTTGCGCCCTCGATCCCCCCGCGGGCCCCGTTGTTCTTCGCCCCTCGTGGCCCGTGCGCCAGCGCAATGCAAGTCGCGCGAATGCTTGGGGGGCGGCGGGGGCGCAGACCACAGGGGAGCTCGACGAGGTTTTCAAGACGGCGGCACGGATGCCACGGAGGGGGAGGAGGGTGAAGGGTAGGAGGAGGACAAGGAGGAAGAGGAGGAGGAGGAGGAGGAGGAGGAGGAGGAGGAGGAGGAGGGGGAGGAGGGGGAGGAGGATGGGGGAGGATGGGGAGGAGGGGAATGAGAATGAGAATGAGAATGAGAATGAGAATGACTGAAGACTAAGTCTTAACTCCATGCAACACCGCTCTCTGACCGCCTCCAGCGACACGAGGAGAAAGAAGAGGACGGCGACCATGCAATACTCCACGCGCTGCATGTAGGCTGCACCATACGGGCGGCAACCGACTTGGAGACCATACCGGAGTAGGGGAAATTCCCGCGTGCACCCCAGTGACGACCTCATAACCTCTTCGATAATACCGCCTGTACGAGCGACTGCAGCCACGACCGATTGAAGCATATACCCCGCACACATGAATGCCAGCAACTAGCGAAGCCCACTTCCAAGCAGGGGAATAACAAGACTCCCACGTACACCCAAAAGCAAAACCACCAAACCACTGCCGAAACATGCACAAGTGACTGATAAGGATACGCAACACTGCAAACACAAATGGCTACCAACATGAAAGATGCAGAGCGGTACCGGTGCCGATCACCAGAGCTTTCAAACTGACCATTGAAGTAATAAACGCAGCATGTGAAGGTATAGCAGGTACAATAAGTGCCGCAAGACCCTGTGGGTATGAACCCTGTGGGTATCCCATGGGCACAATAAAAACAACTCGTACATATATTGAAATATACAAGCTTGGCCACCATACGCACTTTGAAGGCCCCGCAAATCGGGGAAGATGAACCCAACATCCCACGGACATCCACGAACGCCTGACAAGTGTCCCAGGTGGCATGCAACCATTGAATGAATTTGAACCTGACTCTGACACTTCGCCCCGCTCTTAGTCGACCCACGCCTCTGTGAATAGACGATGTCTAACATCCAGAGTTGCGAGAAGCCACAAGCACGCCGCGCTGAGGCGGCGGGGCAGGACCCATGACGCGCTTGAGCCAAAAAGGATCTACGCGCCTTGGGCCCAATGTGCTTGGGGATGGGGAGGAGGGGAAGGGGGAGGAAGGAGGAGGGGAGGAGGAGGAGAGGAGGAGGAGGAGGAGGAGAGGAGGAGGAGGAGGAGGAGGAGGAGGAGGAGGAGGAGGAGGAGGAGAGGGAGGGAGGAGGAGGAGGAAGGAAGAGGAGGGAGGGGAGGGAGGAGGGGAGGAGAGGAGGAGAGGAGGAGGAGGAGGATGGGGAGGAAGGGGGAGGAGGGGGGAGGAGGATGGGGGAGGATGGGGAGGAGGGGAAGGGGGAGGAGGAGGAGGCAAAGAGCAGGGGAATTTGGCGAGAGTTTTCACGACGGCGGCACGGATGCCCTTCCAGACCTCCTCGCATCGCCAAAGGATCTAGGGCGCCCTCGGGGGCGCAAGGATAATCGCGCCCGCGATCCAGCTCCCGGTTCGATTCCACCCGCTCGCGATCCGGTTCGCAACTGGGTTCGACGGGCTCGCGATCCAGTTCACGGTCCGGCTCGCGACGATTTGTCGCGACGAGGTGGCCTTCTTGGGAGTTCTTGGGGGCTTCGAAGGGGCCTCTTCCGGAGCGTCAGAGAACCTGGTGGGAGCTCTTCGGGGCCGACGCATCGAAAGTTCCGTTCGGGTCCCTATTCTGGGCACCCGTCCTGAGAGCCTCTGAGGCCGTGTTGGAAGCGTTTTGGGCCGACTTGGCGCCCTCTGGGGCTGTTTTGGGAACTTCTTGGAGGGCTCTTGGGCTGTCCTGGGGCGATGTTGGAGGCGCCCTGGGCCGTCTTGGAGCGTCGGGAAGCAGGAGGGGCCAGAACGCCAAAATCCTTCAAAAACTTATGGAAAATCATTGAATGCACCATTGCTTGGCCAAGTTTGCAGGCCTCGCGGGCGGTCTGGAAACCGTCAAGGCGCGATGGACAGAGCGTTCGGCGATTCGGGGCCCTCCTGAAAGATCTTGAAGACCTCTTGGCGGTAATGTTGGCGCTTGTTAGGTTTTGTTTGGGTTCTGCGACCCCCTGGGGGGGCGTCGCATCTGACCCCCTCCCACCCCCGGGGACCCCCCTCCAGGCGGGGGAGGGATCAAAGGGAAGGGGCATCCCTTCGGCTCAAATACGACGTTGCTCAATTTCGTTTGGGCTGGCGCGCTGGAGCGCGCTGGAGGAGGAGGGCCGAGGGAGGGGGGGAAGCGGCGACGGGCCCATGGAAACGGAGACGAACAGAACGGACAAGCCCCTCACGCACGCCGACAGGGTCGGCGGATTCTGGGTTCCTTAGGTCAACGCCCTGACTGTATGGAACGATCTGACAATCGAAGAGCCGCCGATCGTTCATGGTTGAACATCCCCCGCGATGTCGGAAACCAATCAGAGGGGAACAAAACACACTGACAGAATTCATCGTCGACTCCTAGGAAAAGATGGGGGAAGTATGGGAAGTGGGGGGAGACAACAAGCCAGAAGGGAGGGGAAATATGGGAGAAGCCTGGGATCTGTGTGTATTTACTTGTGTGTCCTGGGCCCCTTCACGTTCATGGTTGAACATCCCCCGCGGTGTCGGAAGAACCAGCGCCGGGGGGTCGTCGCGACACGAACGGGCCATAGGTGGTTTCCCAGGGAGCCTGCTTCCGGGGAAACGGTTTCGGGGAGGAGGAGGAGGAGGAGGAGGAGGAGGAGGAGGAGGAGAAGGAGGAAGGAGGAAGGAGGAAGGAGGAAGGAGGAAGGAGGATGGAAGGAGGAAGGAGGAAGGAGAAGGAGGAAGGAGGAAGGGAAGGAGGAAGGAGGAAGGAGGAGGAGGAGGAGGAGGAGGTGGGCGCAGGCGCCATGGCAGTTGTCCACGGGCGGGGAGCCTCGCCGCCCCCGCGCTGCTGCTTCGAAGAAGAAAAAACGCTATAAACACAGACGTTCGGCGCTCCGCGCGGATTTCTTGGATCTGGGCTGGCCCCCCTTGGCGCGCGCGCCAGGGAGGGGGGTCCAGCGCAGATCCAAGAAATCCACGTGGAGCGCCGCGAAAGTTTATGTTTATAGCGTTTGTTCTTCTTCTGCTGATGGCGCATGATGCTATGATCGCGCAGGCATCATGGTAGCTTTCTATGGTCGGGGATTTGCGCCGCCCCCGCGCTGCATACGGCAGCAGTGTCGGTCCAGGCCCGATGGGTGTGTCCAGAATGTCCGTCGCTCTTGAAAGAACCCGACGAGGCCATCCCCGGGAGCGACGGCTCGTGCGGGCCGAACGACGGGCCGCAGTGCGCGTCGTGCAGGCGGTTCCAGAAGGCCCGGGACGCCCAGGAGCTGTGGCCGGGGGCCTTCGTCGTCGTCGTCGTCGTCGTCGTCGTCGTCGTCGTCGTCGTCGTCGTCGCCGTCACCGCCGTCGTCGTCGTCGTCATCGTCACCGCCGTCGTCACCGCCGTCGTCACCGCCGTCGTCATCGTCGTTGTCGTCGTCGACGACGACGGTGACGGGCGATGGCGGCGGCGGCGGCGGCGGCGGCGGCGACGGTCTCTTTTGTTGAACCGACCTCCATCCCCAACGGGCCACGGCATCTCATCCCCGCCCTCCCGCCACCCTAGTTGGGGATAGGCCCGTCGAAGCCCGACGGGACGGGCCTCTATCCCCATCTAGGAGCTTGGCATCGCTCGGACGTGTGCATTTTTCCTTCGGCGAGGGCCATCGAGGAGCATCCTTGATCATTTGGCGAAAAAGCCACGCACGAAACCGAAACAAAACACAGGGAATGGACGTCCGAGCGATGCCAGGGGAGGGTAAATCGGCCAGTGGGGCCCATGCCACGCCAGCGGTACCAGGGATCGGTTGAACGGTGCTCAGGCAGCGACGACGACTGCGACGGTGGCGGCAGCGACGACGGCGACGGCAAGGGCGGCGACGGCGACGGCAGTGGCTGCGACGACGACGAAGATCGAGGATGGATGTTTTGGGGGGTTGTTTTCCCGAATAGAGGGCTCTCATAGAGGTAAGGAGGCCGTTTCCGAATAGAGGGCTCTCATGGATGTTTTGGGAGGCCGTTTCGCCAGAGGGCTCTCATGGAGGTCAGGAGAGGACCACAGAAGAGCCCCACAGGGGGGCCGGGGAGCCCGAGACCGCCCAGTGCGGTAGCCGTTTCGCTTGAGAGCACTTCGCACTGCAGTCGGGGACCGTGCTCTCGCTGCAACGCCGGCCACCACGGCGGGGACGGGGCGGCAACAATCCTTTTGTGCAGGGCACGCGAAGGTGCACGTGAGGTTCTCCAGGAGGTCAGAGGAGTCCCACAGAACAGCCCCGCAGAGAGGGGGCGGCGAGCCTGAGGACGCCCAGTCCAGCCGCGGTCCGGCGGCGGTTTCGCTTGAGACGTCCATCCAATGTATTCAAGAATCGCGCTCTCGCCTCAATGCCGGCTGCATTGTTGGCCTGGACGGCCAGGATCCCATGCGCACAAACAGTGCGGTAGGGTGTGGGCAAATGCGCGCACTTTACCGCATTTCCGGCTCTTCGTGTTGCCAGAGCTCCATTCCCGCGTATGATGCCCACACAAGAGAGCACACCCTACTGCACTTCCGGCTCTTCGTGTTACCAGGCCTCCTTTCCCGCGTACGCTTCTGACGCAAAGGTGAACACCCTACCGCACTTCGTGCGTTCCCGAGGAATCCTGGAATCCCTGGGAATACTTAGGACGCACGTTTTCAATAGCCGCCCTCCTACTCATCGACCCGAGTCTTCGAACTTGCTGGTATCAGGGTGCATTGCTGGGGCATGTCGGGGCCAGCGAAGGCGGCGACGATGGGAGAGCGAGGGCCGAATTTTTGGCACGTGGTGCGCCCTTTTCGGGCCTCTGTTGGAGACGTCTCAAACCCAGGCCAAGACGCGCGCTCACGCTCTCCTGCTGCAGCCTGTAGAACTCTTGGCACTGCGACGAGCAATCACGCCAAGCAGCAATCACAATTGCGAACAAATGCAACTCAATATCGTGGGGCTGGTGAGGGGTGCTCTGGAGGCCGTCTGGGTCCCCCTTGGAATCCTGGGGGCATCTTGGTCCAGGGACACCTCGAGCCACACCCGAACGATTGGTGAGCACCGTGCTCTGCGCGAGGAGACCGCGGTGCGATGCCGTGACGTGGCGTGGCCGTGGTCCTGTTCCTTTGGAGAAGTCCCCGAGGATTTTTGAGGTTACTTGCTCCTCGCAGCGCTGACTCTCGGGACCTGCTCGCGTGCCCGCCGCCGACAATGACGATCACCACGGCGACGGCGGCGATGGCGGCGACGTCGGTGACGGCGGCGGCGACGGCGACGACCGCGGGCGACGGCGGCGGCGGCGGCGACGGGCGATGGCGACGGCGGCGGCGGGCGACGGCGGCGGCGACGGTGGCGGGCGATGGCTGCGGGCGGCGGCTACGGACAACGGCGGCCGCAGGAGCCGCTGCCACCCGCGGGCGGCGACCGCAGGGGTAGCGGCCGGCAGGCCGCTCCCGCCGGCGGCGAGGCCGCGGCTCCGCCGGGGCAGGCCGCGCCGCCACCCGCGCCGCCGCTGGTCGTGGCCTCCGCCGCCGCTGCCCTGCCCACGGCCTCGTGCTTCGCCCGCAGCCGAGAGGCCCCCCCCGCGGGGGGGGTCGGAGAGGCACCCGAAGGGCGTGGTTCCTCCTCCTCTTCCGCCTCCTCCGTACGTAGCAATTTTGGCTCAAGATGCAGGTTTCCCCTGGGAACCAAGCAGATACCGCTAGTCCGCGGCTGGCAAGCCTTCTTGAAGTCTGGCATCGTCCTCTGTCCACCCTCCTTGCGCTCGGGTCGGTGGGTAAACGGAGGCCTTTCCCGTTCCTGTCGGCCCGATCGCGTCCAGCTGCAGAGCCATGCCTGGTGCAGGGAGCCCCGAGAAGCATCGCATGGACTCGGAGGGCTCCCCCAGCTGCAGCGGCCGCTCGACTTCAAGGACGCGCTCTTCCAAGTCCCACTCGAGGGCGCCCGAGCGCCGCAAGGCGCCCCCAGCGGACCGTGGACGGCTGGTTCGCCCTGGTGCTGCAGCGCCTCCTGCTGGCCACGCTGGTCCTCCTGGTCGTCGGGGAAAGGGCGACAGGAAGACCTCCAACGAGGAGATTTGGCGCCAGCGGGCAGCTGATGCGGCCCTCGAGATGCAGAGAGACGGGATCGACCTCGACATGCTGGCCACGTTCCCCTCTCAGGGCGCTGGTGAGGCGGGAGTCGGGGAAGCTGTTGCCAGGGACGCTGCCGCTGGAGCCAGGGACGCTCCCTGCCCAGCTTCTGGCGTCGGTGGTGACCCGTGGAGGACCTACCTGGACAACGGCGGGGCCCCCTTGGGCCACGCGTCGGCACTGGGACCCAGCCGTGGCCATCCTCCCGCCCATGCTGCTCCTCAGCGTGACCAGCGGCACGGCGCAGCTCCTGCGGTCTCTTCTGCGGCGACGGCGTCTGGTGATGCTGGCGGCGCTGCGGATGCTGTCATGCCCAACTCCACCCAGGCCGTCCTCCTCCAGCAAGTGCAGGCAGCCATCACCTCCGCCGTCACGTCCGCGGTCGTCGCCAGCGTTGACGCCACCCTCACGGCGGGCCTGGCGCAGATACAGGGAGTCATGGAATCGCGTGTCGGCGTCGTGGAAGTGCGCCTTCATGGGGTTGAGCAGAAGCAGATCGACATCGAAAGGCAGCTGCGTGCGGACATCGCGCAACTTCGCGAGCAGATGGGCATCATGGCGCGAGCGGAGCCCTGTGCTGCCCCTGTTGGCCCTGACTGGGACCGCCCTCCAGACCTCTCTGCGGTGGTCGTGCGGTGCAAGGAGGAGCTCCCCGCGGCGACCTTCAAGCAGGTCATCGACCCCCTCCTCGCGGAGGCTGGCATGGGTCCCGACTCGTTCGTGGTGGAGGCGGAGCCCCTCGGCAAGCGCTGCGTCTACCGCTTCAAGGGGCCCCCCGAGCTCGGGGCCAGACGGGCTGCTAAGGTGCTGGGGTGTATGCGCCTTGGCCGTGGCGAGTGGCGCAAGCCGCGCGCCACGACGCCTGCTGGCCACGAGGTGGACATCTACGTGGCGCCTGACCAGAACCGCAAGCAGGTGCTGCACGAGCTCACGCCCAAGAAGCTCGCCGTCGCGCTGGGGCGTGTCATCGGCGACGGACACCGCATCTTCGTGGACAAGCAGAAGTTCCCCCTCTCGTCCCAGTGGAAGGCCTTCCTCCGCCTCACCATCGACGGCCCCAACTCCACCCCAGTGGTGGCCTGGTCCCCGTCCGCGCCCACGGCAACCGGGCTGCGGCGTGAGGGCCTGGCACCGACGGTCGAGGCGGCTTTGGCTCCTGGTGATGATGATTGGTGCCTTTAGCACGCTCGACAAGCTCTTTGCCGCCCCGATGAGCAAGGGGCTCACCTTCGCCACCTGGGATGCCAGAGCACTCTGTCACCACAAGGCGAACGTGGCGGCACGCAAGAGCAACTACCTAGGGAATGCTCTCCGAGCTGGGGCTATCGTTGGTATGCAGGAGGTCCACGGGTCGGCCGTGCGCCTGCGTATGTTGATAGATCGCTTGGGGACGGACTACCAGATGTTCTACTCCTTCGGTGACAATGCTGACGAGTCTCCCGGCAGTGTTGCCACCATCTTCCCCTTCAAGATGCGCGCGGGAATGGACCTGCGCAAGACGTACTGCATCAAGGCTCGGGTGATCCGCGTCACGGCCACGATCACGGACGGGCCCTACGCTGGCTACACACTGAAGCACTGGAACATCCATGACCACGACCTCTCACGCGAGCAGGCACGGCGCGTCGCTGGCGAGATCCAGGCAGATCTACGTGACATGGAGATGGGTCCGAAGAGGCACTGTGTTGTGATCGAGGGCGACTTCAATTACGGCGAGACTGCTGAGGTGGAGGACCCTCTGGTTCCTGGAGGCGGGCGCAGGGCCGTCTCACACCCCCGCGGTCGCGCATGGGCACACTCGCTCAGTGATGCGACGGAGATGATCCCTCACAGACCGACACACTGGCACCCAGGCAGACAGATCGCCACCTCGATCGACAAGATATGGATTGGTTCCCCACGTTGGTTACTCACGCAGACCTTTCAGCATGGGCAGGTGCACGGAGAGCCCCACGAGATGCACTTCGACGGGCTCTCGGACCACGCGATGTTCTCGGTAGCATGGACTCCTCGCCCACCGAGAAAGAGACCTACCACGGGTGTCATCAACCCTGCCCCGTCCTTCGTCGTTGAGAATCCGCTGTTCGGCGAGATGATCAGGAAGTACGAGCTCGCGGTCCCCCTGGATGGTCTCTCTCCTCCTGATCGGGTGCACTACCACACAAAGATCCTGCAGACTGCAGCGGCCGCCACCCGTGATGCCATTCTTCGTGGTGAGCCTGGTTTGCGGTCGCCGACGGCGCTGATCTGGAGACAACTTGGTCGAGCGATATCGCGGCAGGACATTCGGATGGCTGAGGCCCTACTGCGCCAGCATGCATGGACAAGCCAGATGATCGTGCTTCGCCATCACCCAGGTCATGGCAGAGCTCAAGTGGTGCTCCTCGACCCTCAGGGATTCTCTCGTCGTTACAGTTTGGCACAACACCGTGAGCTGCAAGCACTACTCCGCCAGCATCAGCGTGACATATATGGGGAACGGCACGAGTCCAACAAGGCAGCGCTGGTCAGGCAGCAGAGGGCCCTACGCCGACGTGCGGCCATCTGGGCGCCGTCGTCGGCCCGACGCTTCCTGGGGGGCATCGAGCTGGACGATGGCACGGTTGCGCGATCGGAGCAGGATATCCAGAGGGCACTCGCGAACTACTGGCGAGGCGTCTTCGGCGACGACGTGGTCAAACGGATGCGCAACCTTGCCGCCGGCACGAACGGCGCCCCCATGACCTTCCAGGACGGCGTCATGGTACCCCTCCCACGAGATGCTCCTCGTGCTGTTCAGCGTCGGCGGGGACTCCAGGATGGCTATCTCCGACGCTATGGCATCCAGGGGGCTGACTGGGCCTCGATCGAGCCCCCCTCGACACCGTGGCCTTGGCTCCCCGCAAGGCCCGCAAGTAGGCACCTGGCCCTGACGGCCTCGGCGCCAAGGTCTGGCTCGCCACGCCGCTGGGGGTCGAGACGCTGGCGGAAGCAATGTCGCGGCAGCTTGCGGCCTACCCATGCGCCAGGAGTGGAACTACTCCATCGCCGCCTTCCCCGCCAAGGGGACGCGTGCTGATGACCCTCAAGAAGCCCTCAGGCGCGCCAGTGAGACTCGACCGCTGGCGCTGGAGAACACATCCAAGAAGGCCGCCATGTGGGCCCTCAGCTCATGCGTGAAGAGAGTGGCGGAGCGGCACTGCGTGGACACGCAGCGCGGCTTCATATGCGGGCGCAACTTTTGCGACAACATAGTCGAGCTAGGCACGCACTCCCGCGTGCTGTCCATGGCTGCGGGACGCGCCGACTCCCCCTTCCTCATCTCCTTCGACTGGGGCCAGGCCTTCCCGAGCATCGCGCAGGACTGGCTCTTCGGCTCGCTGCGCGCCATGGCCGCTCCCCAGGGACTCCAGGACGCGCTGAAGGTCAACTACGACGGAGTCGTCTCCTGCGCGGCTTCTCGCACGAGGGCGGCGCTCTACTCGGCGCGCTCGGGCATCCTCCAGGGCGACCCCGCCAGCGGCACGCTGTTCGTCCTCGCCGTCCACCCGTTCGGCCAGGACCTGAAGTCCAACCTGGACTCCAAGCTTCGGGGCATCTCGAGGTGGTGCGCCGACGACCTGGGCGCGGCTGTGATGGCCCAGCGCGGGCTGCTCACGCTGGCCCGAGTCTTCCGCGGCGCGAAGCTCCTGGCGGGACTGGTGATCAAGCCTGCGAAGTGTCGCGCCATCCCGCTGGGGGACCCGCAATGTGCTGACGTACGGGAGCGGGCGCGGGACTCCCTGGTGGCCGCGGACAAGGACTGGGAGGCGTTCCCCATCGTGGACCACCTCGAATACCTGGGCGGGCTGCTGGGCCCTGGTGTGACGCAGGAGGCTCAATGGCGTGCACCGATAAGGAAGTACTCCGAGCGCGCCGGGGAGATCTCCAGGAGCCGCGCGGACGCATGCGGCCATCCACCTGCACAGAGAGCGCTGCGTGCCCGTCCTTTCGTACAAGGCGCAGATGATGGAGGCCCACACCTCTTTGAAGAAGCTCGAGCGGGGGAGACTGGCGCACCTGCTGCGCCTCCCAGGCAGCTTCCTGGGCGACGGGGAGTGGCGCGAGCTCGACACCGTCGGCGGCCCGCAGATCCCGTCCGCCATGACCCTATGCGAGGCAGCCCTCGTGAGGGCGGCGGTGGTCACGCTGGGCTCCTGGCGCACGGCTGCGCGGCAGCTCCGAGGGGCTGCGCTGCGGCACCTGCCACTGGTGCGCACGGTCCGCGGATGCCCGTGGCCCTGCTGGTGGCGACCTGAGGCCATCGCGACGACGCTGGAAAGAGCGGCGTCGAGCTGCGGGACGGGTCCACGCCCGTCGGCCGTGCGCGCCCTCCGCG